AATTATTATCACCAATTAAAATACACTCTCCCGAATTTAATCGGTGACAATAGTAATAATAATAATGAAATAATAATGATGATAATGATAACGAAATAGCAATAATAATTAAATAATAAAAATAAGGTTTTCACTGATCACCAAATAATTTTTCCATATCCATAAATAACGCAATTTATTATTATTTTTATTTTACATAAACACTTGCATCAATTATTGATTTTTTTAATGTCAAAATTGTTATTTTGCCATTTATTTTAAATCCACCAGTTTTTTATGAACAATCAGCAGTGTAAAACATTTAGATGTTGATGATCTTTGTGACTATGATTACTCATGAAAGTCAGATGCTTCATTCATTCGATTCTTGGTTCACTCGATGTTGAAATTGTTTTGGGGTTAAACCTAAACGAATAGAATGTTTAGAAATGAGGATCCGTTTATGAACGTACATGTGAAAAGGGGTTTGTCATATAGGGCAATAATATGTTACACGTATATTGATATTTTGTATAACAATTGGATTTTGAAATTATCATCCATCTATCTATATTTGTTGGAGTAATTCTTTTTAATAAAGATAATATTATGACAATCTGTTAGAACACCATAAAAAGACATCTGGAATTGTAGCTGGAGTGCTTTTTCAGTAAACACTAAATCAAAATTTTTTATTCCTCGCCTTTTATTCTCAAAAAATAAAAATTTAAAATGCAATTGTTATTAACAACATCGACATTATCATCAACACCAACACCGTCAACATCATTATTCTGTTCAACACTAGCTTATGATTTGTTGAAATTATTGAATGATACATCAGATCATGATATGGTAATACATATAGGTGGAGGAGGAGGCTATTTTTTTAACAACAACAACAACAACAACAACAACGATAATAGTGGTAATGGTGAGGAAGACATAGCAGTGACAACAACTAATATTGTAAAAACTTTTCAAGTTCATTCCAACATTTTACGTGTAAGGTCCACATATTTTGCTAATTATTTGAAAAAAGAATGGATAAAAAGAGAAAATGGAATTATCCAATTCAGAAAACCAAATATTTCTCCATTTGTTTTTGAAATTATTTTAAAGTTTGTATATTTATTTTTTATAAAGTTATTTCGTTTTTCTTCTGTAAGTCTCAACCAATGTATATATATATAATATACATGCTTTTATTAATAGGTTTATTTATGGAGGAAAAATCATGTTTGACGAAGAAGAGAAAGAACCTTTGGTAATATTTGAATGCTTGATGGCAGCTGATGAATTATTATTGGACGAGTTTATTGATTACACACAAACATTATTACTAAATAAACATATCCAATGGCTTAAAGACAACCTTCCCATAATCTTCCGTATTACTTTTAACACAAATGCATTAAAGAAATTACAAGATTTCTGTTTAGATCGTATTCGCAAATATCCTAATCTGTTATTTGACTCAGATGAATTTTTATTATTGCCAGAAGATTGCTTGGAACAATTATTAAAGGATGATGAATTAGAAATGGAAGAAATGGTGATTTGGGAAAAATTGGTACAATGGGGTATCAATAGAATTGACCATATATGATGTCGAGGGTCGTTTAATAAAATTCAAATCTCGAAATATTTGAAATCTAATAATAATCCAAACTTAATTTGAATCACAAAAATTAATCTAAAAGAAGATATTAACAAGTAAAGGTGACATGTGTTAATGAGGATCATAAAGGTTGCTTGTTTTATTTGCCTCTTTATTTACAGTGTTGTTTAGTTTTTTCGTTTTTGTGTACTTCCAATAGCCATGACTCCATATATATTTTGAAAATAATGATCTATAATGTAATGTGATAGTTGTAATCAGTGTTGTCAGCGAACACGGACATAGACACGGACTGTCCGTGTCCGTCACCTTTAAATGTCCCGGACCATTCTTGGACAAAAATATAAAATTTTGCCTACTACCTCTTTCTTAAAGCTTTGGTGAATCTGTAAACACTTTATGGTACAATTAACAAAGCAATAAAGCTCCTGTAGAGTCCCTTTTATTTGATTGACTTTTACTTTCTTTGGCCAATTGAAGTCAGCTGTATGTTTGCAACAATTACTTTACAATAAAATAATTCAATATGTGATAATGACTTGTATAGATGGTCAATTAACAAAAAATTAAACATTTACACTTAACAAAAACCAAAAAATTAAACCTTTGCTTTCTTACTAAAACAAATATCTAAAAAAAAAAATCTTTGCTTTAACCACTCTGATAACCAAATGGAGGCTAAACCCTACTGTTTAATTTCCGACCATAAAAGTATTTATTAAACAAAAAAGAATTAATTTGTTTAAATTATGAAAATGTTTATTACAAATTAATTATTTGTAAAAAAATAATTTTATATTAACTTTCTGCCTCTACTCTAAAGCAAGGCTCTGAATTATTAATATAGAATCATTTAATTAATTAAATGCCGAATTATTCTCCTTTTTGTTTGGAAACCATTTTTTCTTCCCTTCCTCCTCCTAATTTTTCAACGCATGTTTACAAACCATTTTTGAATTGATTTGGTTTAGTTTTATATTGTTTTAATAATACGTTGAGTTAATAAAGGTGGTAAAGGCATTTTCTCACGTTTAACTTGTGGTTTGTATTACTGGTCCCGGACATTTAAGAAAATGAGCGGACACGTATAAAAGTGAATTTATTCATTTTTCAGATTCCAATTTATCTAATTATTACCATGATCTATAATCTTATTTATACTCATTACAACCAGTGTTGTACATGGGACATGTCCTGAACAATGTCCAATGGACACTGTCCAAAAATGTCCGCGTAACAATTTGTCACGCGGACGTGTCCGCTCATTTTCTTAAATGTCTCGGACAGTCCGTGTTCATGTACGCGTCCGCTGACAACACTGAATTAAATACTCGGTAGCGACCTTTTGGAGTGTGGTAGATGTGCCCAATCCAACATATGAGGATTTTTTTTTGTAGATGCTTCTTGAGTAGTCAAGAAGTCAATTGTGTAAAAGTCTATATGACAAGTCTTTAAATGCAAAGTTGTTGGTGGATTAATCCAGCCAAAATTTGAGTTTATGAAAAAAGTGCGTTAAATAGAAGTTTAAAGATGGCGCTTTTAATTCTTTTTTTTGTGAGCTGCGCCGTGGTGAGAAAAATTTTGGGAAAAAAATTTTTCCGATTTAATTTTAAATGATGATGATGATGATAGTATATATATAAATATCCGACCACCTGATGATCATTTTAATGTTACGCCTTATGCAGTTCAAAATTTTGTTAATCAAACCGGGACTGGTGCATTAAGTAAACATGGTTTAAAAGGTTAATTTGCATTATAAACTTAGTCTCGTCGAGTTTACAATATAGGATGAAAATTTTTAAATTAGACAAAAAATCCCGTGATTTTTATGAAAACTTTGAGCTTAGTAAAAACCTTCAAAGCTACCTTGAATTATATATGGTTAAAATTTGAGAAAAGCCTTAAAATTTGCATTTTGTCAACTTTATTAAGTGCTTTATATGATAAAATTACGGGGTGGTCGGATACTTTTTTAAACCCTTTTCACAAACGTTGAATCTAATATTCAACAAACTTCTCCTTGGCCTCCTCTATCTTTTTCACACTCTTTTTCACACATTTTTTTTTCATCTTCACCTTCATCACTTTCTCTAATACCTATTAATAATGAAATAGATACACAAATAAAAAAGGTGGACACCCACATGCCATTTACTTAATAAAGGAATAAAAATTTCTTCCGGTCACTATTTTGCTGATTGTAAAAGTTGTGGAAAGCATTGAAATAAGGGTTCTCCTACTATGATGGAACATCACTTAACTTTTGAATGTCTAGCAATTAATTATTTATTATAAATTTTATTTATTTTGTTTATTAAATTAAATTTTATTTATTAATTATATTCAACAATTTGCTAAAAAATTGTTTGCTATTACACCATGTGCAAGCTTCTTGTGAAAGGATTTGGTCAAGTTTGGATGGTTATATGAAAAAAAAGGTGCAATTTAAGTACTGAACCATTAGCAAAAATTTCATAATTATTATCTCTCAAATTGCAAGGAGAATTGAAAATAGCAGAAGGAAATATTTCTGAAAATGAAATATTGGATACTTTTTTGGCAACTCAAGATGATAATGAGGATGATGGCGATATAGAAACATCTTCATTAGAAGAAGAAAATAATGATATAAATGCTAATGAGGGACTTCCAGAACCTTATGTTTTAATTATTCAAAATACAATGGATTTATCTCATTCTAATTTTCAAGATCTAGATGATAATGATGAAAATAGATCT